GGGGTAGTGGTTAGAGAGAGAAGCACTAATGAGCACTTGGAGCAGTTATTCCCAGGCTGACGCCACGCAGCCCTGCAGAGTGAGCCGGGCACATGTTGCTAAGAGAGCACCAGCCCTACCTTAGCCCAGCGTCTTCCCCTGCTGCCCTCGGTAAAGAGAACAAAGGAGCTACTGGCCCCAGCCAAGCCTGTTCCCACAGTCCTGGCTCCCTTGCTGCTGGGCACAGCCAACCCTGTCACCTTCCTCCAGACCCCTGCGTTACTTAAAAAGTCATTCCCCAGGGCTTCTCCACTGGTTTGGGTAGGACTCGAGTTAGGTAAAGCAGTGAGCTGACTTCAGGAGAAGGATCTGTCCTTCACATGGGAAGAAAAGAAAATAATCATCATCATCATCAAAAATAAGAGCAGATGATGTAGGAAAATGGGCGTGAAGAAATAGGAGAAAGGACAAGCGGCTTTTGCATCTGCTGTCCTGCAAAGGAGACGGGTGCAGGGTATTTCTAGCTGATGACAAAATCACTACAAGTGGAACAGCCATCACCAGGGGGTGTACTTGATGCACCGGCTGGGAGGATGGCAAAGCAAACAAGTGTAAAGGTAAGGCTGGAGCACAGAAACAAGTGCTGGCTGCCTGCGGGCTGGAGAGGTGGCAGGAGGCTGGGAGAGGAGAGAGATGAGGGTTCTGACTCAGCCCAGGGCGGCCCCGGCACAGGCACCTGCGGGTCCCCGGCTGCCCCGGCCCCGGGGAGGTGACAAAGCAGTCACTGACCCCTCACAAATGAATCTGCCATTTCTTATCAGTATTTTTTCCTTTAACTGTCATGAACTAAGTCGAAACAATACAGTCTCTTCGCAGGCTCCCCAGCTGCAATGCTTTCTTTTGCTTTCTTCCCAGTTTTTTTTTTTTTTGGCAGGATGATTAAACATAAAAATCCCCCCCGTTTGCATAACACCGATGAATGAAATTACAGGTTCGTTTCACACCCCTCTCAAACATTTCGGACACTCCTTTCAAAAACACGCATCTGATCTCTAAGACTTGATACTTTTGACCTCTCTCTTGTACAGGAAACAACAGGCGAGAAGACTGGAAAGGGATGGAGCGGTGCTCCTTCCGCGGCACGGAGTTGACATGCAAACTTCCAGCCCTTCCCCAGAATAAAATATCTCGGGGCGGGCGGGCGGGGGG